GGCTCCCGAGGTCATCGAACTATCCGGCGCTACTACGTCGTCAGACATATGGAGTTTGGGATGCACAGTCATCGAGCTTATCGAGGGGAAGCCGCCCTACCACAAGCTACAGCCCATGCAGGCCCTCTTCAGAATCGTCAACGATGAGCACCCGCCGATACCTGGAAGTGCCTCTCCGGTAAGTGCACCCGCGGTCCCTATATGTCAGATGCTAACCCCTACAGCTGCTGCGTGAGTTCCTCATGGAGTGTTTCCAGAAGAATCCCACGCTCCGCATCTCCGCAAAACGCCTCCTCAAGCACCCATGGATTCTCAGCGCCAAGCGGACTGTCCCTGCAGTACCCACAAAACCTACCGAATATCAGGAAGCAGTCAAGTCCGTGCAGGAATGGAACGAGGCATTAAAGTCGCCCAGCTCCCTGCGCCGAAGCTCGCGTCTTGTGTCGGGCTTGCAGAAAGCCAGTCCTGCTGCTTCATCTCGCAAGAATCCGGCCAATGTTAATCTCAACATCCCGAAGCACAGACCCACCGCTGAGTCGTTCCGCTCCCCGGAGCTAGATCATGACGATAACTGGGATAATGACTTTGCCGAAAGCATATCGCCCCGCGCCCTGCAGATGCCACACCTGAAGCCACAGGACAACTTTGGCGGTCTCTTTTCGAGTGACAAGCTCAAGGCTTTTGCCAGTTTTGAGTCGGTTACAGAGATGGCAGAGTACGATGGCGAGGCTACGGTGAAGAGTCCGATGAACTTGGCGCAGTTCCAGAGCTTCCCGAAAGCGTCGGGCCATAGAGCGGTTGAGAGGTCGAGAGGCGCCAACGGTAGACCTAGAACGTCTGCGTCTTCATCGAACACGTCTTCGAGATCAAATTCGAACGCTTCCACATCAGAGTACGAGGATAGACATGAACCCCAGCCAAGAACGGCATTCCTGCGAGGTACACCAAGGGCTGCACAGCCTCCCAAGCCAAAGACGACAGCGCCAGCGCGGCCAAGTCAGCTCTTTCGCGAGGACACTGTCGAGGATTATTCGGATCTCATGCCAGCTGATGAGGGTGCCTTTGAGCGTAAGCTAGCGTCCATGCAGTACGCAAACTCGCCAGCCGTGCCATCTAGACAAGTAATCGTCACCAATTCCAGCCCGCCATCTGACACTTTCTCCCCACGATTGTTCCATCCCAGCGACCTGAAAGCAGGGCCCAAGTCAACGCGCGATCTCAAGTCTGGTGGCAATGTCCATCAGAGATCGACGAGCTCAACATCGACGCGGAAGCAGCTGCAGCGGACGCAGTCAGAGATTGAGATTCAAAAGTACGCCGAGGATGAAGGTGACGACTTTTCAGATGTCTTTGGTGATATCAAGAGTCAGCTTGCTAACCCTAGCCGAGCCGAGAGTGATAGCGGGAGTGAGCATAGCAGTCTTGCCATGATCACATCGAAGATGGCGAACTCTTTCATCATAGCTGATGAGGATGATCTTGATCCATTCGCCAACCTGGATGAGGGTCTTGACAACATCAACTTGGAGAACAACGTCGCGCGAGACCGGGACGATCGATTGACGAAGATGACGGAGAGTCTTGTGGGCTGTCTGAAGACAAGTCAACCCGACGACGAGCTACTCGACATTGCAGATCAACTACTACAAGTTCTACATGAATCTCCGGATAAGCGATCGATCATACTACGAAGCCACGGCATGCTGCCTATATTGGAGATTCTTGGAACCAGACCGCACAACGAGGTAGTCTTACCTCTTCTGAAAATTATCAACCTGATCATCCTGGAAGACTCTGAGTCACAAGAGAGCCTGTCGTTCTTGGGTGGCATTCCGACTATCTGCTACTTCGCCTCCAAGAAGTTCCCTAGCGACATCCGGAAAGAAGCCGCAGCTTTCGTGCGGCAAATGTACCAAACAAGCACACTGACGCTACAGATGTTCATCGGCTGCGGTGGCATCAATGTGCTAGTTGAGTTTTTGGAAGAGGATATTGACGCTGAACGCGATCTGGTGCTCATCGGTGTCAACGGCGTCTTTGGAGTTTTCGAATTACAAGGACCAACCCCGAAGAATGACTTTTGTCGCATCTTCTCGAGATCGAGCGTACTATACCCCCTCAGCTTGGTGTTGAATCGTATGGTGGAGGAGGATGGTGAGGTTGCACGCCTCATCGTCGGCAGGATCGTACAGATTTTCCTCATCTTCTCGCAAGCTGAGAGTCATGTCAAGGATCTTGTGGCGGATCGGATGATCTTAAAACGTAAGTTATCCTTCGCAGTTCACAAGCCTAAGCAGTTACGGCGTCGTCGCAAACTCAAACATAGCTAACAACGTCCAGGTGTATTAAAAGATCTCCGCAAGATGGCGCCACCGCACCAGATCACGATGCTCAAGTTCATCAAGAACCTCAGCTCGCTCTCCTCCACCCACGAAGCCTTACAAAACTCCAACGCGATCGACATCCTAATCGAACTACTCAAGTCGACTCGACAGAAAGACGCAATGAGCCGCAGTCAACAGCGATCCGCCTCTGACCCAGCTCGACTCCCTCCGTTCCACCGCGAGATCTCGAACCAGATCCTCAATACCATGTACAACTTGTGTCGGCACAATAAGAGCAGGCAGGAAGAGGCTGCATTGTCGGACATTATTCCTCTGCTGAAGGAAGTTGTGCGCGAAGGCGGTCCGCTCAAAGAGTTTGCGCTGCCGGTGCTGCTTGAGATGGTCAACTCGGGCAAGGTGGCACGGAAGATGTTGTGGGATGCAAAGGGTCTGGCGTTCTACGTTTCGCTGTTGGGCGACCGCAATTGGGCGGTAACGGCCCTGGATGCCATCTTTGTGTGGTATGTATTCAATGAATTGATGGCCATGCATCTCATGCTAACTATTACAGGCTCCAGGAAGAAACCGCGCGCGTCGAGCAATACCTCCTCTCCTCGCAATCGAATTTCACCGTCGCCATCATCTCCGCGTACACCTCTGCCGACCTCCCACACTCTACCTTTGAGAACATGCTCGAGCCACTGCAGAAGGTGGTTCGTCTGTCACCACCAATCGCTGCCTCCCTCGCCGTACCCGAGATCTTTGGTCGCACGGAACAAAAGCTGGGACACAAGGATGCCGTGACGCGTCTCAACTTCCTCCGTATCCTGCGGACGATTTGCGATGCGAAGGACGAGGGCTGCTGGCTCATACGTGCATTCGGCTGCTACGAACGCATCAGCTGGCTCATGGAACACGACTCCGCGGTATTGGTACGCCAAATGGCCGAAGAGCTCGTCCGCGCCTGCGACGAAGTCGAACTCTCCGGCATCAGCAAAGGATCCAACGGCAAACGAAGCCTTAGTCGGGCCTCGAACGTAGGCATGAACCTTCGCCGCCCCGCCTCCTCAGCCGGCCGCCGCGACGGCTCAGGCTCCAGCACCGGTTCCACACTGGTCAGCAGCGGCATGGGTCTCACACCCCCTACACCCAACTCCCTCAAATCCACCTTCATGCTCCCACCCATGTCTGGCACACCGACAGGCCACCGCGGCGACCACCGCATTACGCGCTCCCAATCCTCAACCGCAATGTGGGATCTCGCTGAAGACCCCACCGCCGTCCTCCCGCCTTCTTCGTCTGGGAGGTCGAAACCACCCGCTCTCGCCCGCAGTTCAACTTCCTTCGCCGCCCTCCAATCGAACACCAGTACTCCAACTGGTCCTCGTACTTCCTCACGCCCTCCCTCCCGCGACGCAGCAACGAGTCTCGCGCGTATTGAGGCAAATCATAATAACGCGAAGTCGTCGTCGAGATTACCCAAAGCAAGACAAGGTCGCATTAGCGAAGCCGTGAGTCGAAGACGGCAGAGTGTTGTCGGAGGCGAGAACGAAACACCACCGAGCCATGCGACTTCGCATGGCCATAGCACGGGGTCCCCTGCACCGTCGAGTAGCCAGCCGGTGCATTCGACGAGTAATGCGCCGCCGCTCCCACGGTTGCAGATTGTGAGGAGGAGGAGGGAGACTAGTGGCGGGGAGATGAGTACGGCGGCGAGGAAGGGGGTGCAGGATTAGAAATCTGGGGAGTTGACGGCACTTGGCGCTGCTGCTGGAAGTCCTGGTCCTGGGGAGAGGCGGGGTGGAGACGGGTATCTGACGCAGGTACGTAGGAGGAGGGGGTGGACTGGTCTTTGAACGTTACACTGCATCATCGTTCATCGGATGTGGGTGTGTTTCTTTTGTATATTTCTCTTGTTTTTTTCTTTCTCAGCATGCTTTGCTGTGGTCAGCGATGGACATGGTGTCGTGTTGGGTCGATATCAGGCGTTACGGTTTCGCCTGGCTTTGGCTTCGGATATGGCTGGGAAGCATTGTTAGGTTTGCATTGCATAGCATGGGCGTTCTCTTTCGTTTGATAAGCCGATTACCCTTTTCTTGATGGGGGGAAGAGGATAGATTGGAGAGAAGAGAGGGGGATAGTGTGGATAGTGGGAACTGAATACCGGTTGCATAGAATGAAGATTGTTGAGAGCTGTTAATGATAGGTTTCTACTGTGTTGTACTGTGATCGACGTTGAAGGTGTAAGCTAATGTGATTCAAGAGAAGGAGAAAGGGTACGGGAACTAAAAAGATGACAAAGTGACGAAGTAAATGAGTTGGATATCGGACTGACGTACTATTTGACAACTAGCTAGAGGAGGTGTAGGGAAAGAGAAGATCGAAGAAGGCGCCCGCTATCTACTCGTTCAAATCATATAGTCGAGCGGGATGTAGGAGTATTGAGTTGAACAACATCAACGACCTCTTGTATGCTACGGAGTAACGATGTAGTGCTGCCACATCCTGCTCACTGTCGCGCATGAGTCCACGTCAACGCACGATCGTGCGACAAGTCATCCCCAAGGAGTCATATTGACCTATAAAACGCGAAGTAAGCAACTTTTGGTCTATATCCATCATTCTCCTCTCGCTGCTCCAAGGTTTGCTACTCTCTATTCCCCGAGATATACCATTATGTCCAAGATGAACGACGCACGCGATACTTCAAACCGAGACACGAGCCACGTAGACGAAAGTGCCGACGGCGTACTAGAGTTTTGCCATGGTTATACGAAGACAGCGATGAACCTCGACGTAAAGGGCTGTGGCTGGCGACTGTATCTCCTTCTCTCGCGACACTTCCAGTGGAAGAACGGGGATGTGAGTGGCGAATCGCGATACGACGACGACCAGAATGTAGCAACACTCAGCTTCGAGTTGCTAATCACCCGCAGATCCGTCCCTAGCTCCAGTGTAGCCAACCGTACGGATGTCCCCGAGCTCATTGTCGTGGTCGAAGCCTCTCCGAATGGCTGTGGCATACGCAGTCTCCAAACGCTGTACAGAGTCATACCGAGCGAATCTCCATCAGGGCGGTTGAACATCACCGCGAACACCTCTCCTGGGTATAAGCTGGACCATCCGTGGAAGTTGGGCTTCGATTTTGATATGAGTCGCGATCGTATCGAGCCAGACAAGAAGTACGGCACTTGTGTGATTTTCAGTCAGGAAGAGCCTTCCGAAGGGGCGAAAAGCGGGTGGGGCGAGGGTGCACCTGAAGCCGTGTTGCTGGGAGACGGAGATCTGGAGGTGGACGACTTCGCTGATCTTGGTGATGAGAAGGCCATATCGTACTCGTACAACAACGTTTCTCTTTGGAGGCTTGCCGCAGTTGGATATCGGAAATGAAGGTTCACTCGGTATGCGGTCTTTGAGTGCGTCTTCGTATGGGGACGTTGAATGTACATGCCCAAGGTGTCGAAAAACAGAACATGGACGACAGAGTCCGGGGTAGCGAGACGGCCAGGTATGACGACCCATCAATAGATGACTCTTACGCACGAGTTTGCAGAAGCCACTCCCGTCGTCCGCTATGATATACACATGCCGCGTGCAGCTCGGTGACTCTTTGTGTGTCCAATCCAACAATGTTGGAGTAACAACGTTAGCTCTTCGTATCCCCAACCCAGCAACGTCGTCGTACTAACCTTCCACCTCACTGCCACTACAGCCCCATCGCGTCCAGTGTCCCTCGACTAGATTCTCCATAAATGCAAAAATCAAGCCTCCAAAAATTCTTCAAATGGCCAAAAACACACGCAGCAGCGCACTACCCCAACGACGACGAGCGCAAAAAGATGGACTTGCAGGGAATCGAACCCTGGACCACTCCCATGCTAAGGGAGTATTATACCACTAAACCACAAGCCCGGTTGTGCTGTTCCTGGAGGAGGAACTGCTTTGATGGAACAATGGGAAGATACGGCGTATATATTGCCAGGAGTAACGGTAGCGATTGATGGGCGCGTTGAGAAGTTAGGAAGGAAAAGGCCCCACCTCGGTGTTGGAGGTTTGCCGCTAGAATCTTTTGGAGGTTTGCCGGGACCGGGGAATGATTAGCGATGTGGAGACGAATCCTAAGGGTAATATTAGTGGTAACACAGGGAGTACTGTTGAGGTGGTCGTAGGGTGTGTGTTGCGATGTCTCTTGAAGGTTTTCCACTTGAGCGATGGATGCTGACAGTGTTTCGCCGTTTCGGTGACGGTAGATTGCGAACACCACGACGATGCTAGACCGCAACCATACAACAGCGCTCCGACGATATTCCAGGATGGTCGTTCGTCACTCATGCCATCTCTTCCCATCCTTCATCGCGACGATAGCGCTGCGCGAAATGGTCTGAGGAAAATTTGTCGGGACGCATCGAAGTCGATCAAGCCCTTGCATTCATCAAGGCCGGTCTTGAAGTCGCTTCGGTATCGCGTAAGAGCTGCGCGATAATATTGGTTGTGGTGTGCAGGGAGACGACGCGGTGGTGCCGTGATGTGTGTTATCGCGTCGCGACATAGTCGCGGAGACTACGCTGGTGAGTAACCGTCGCGGATTGTCAACTTCATCCTTGTGGTCATTGCGATGCGATCAATTCACGTCAGCGTAGAGACGACGCGGTGATGTTGTGCCGTGAGTTCCTGGGCTGCGACACGAGCGCGGAGACTACATCTCTTCGCATCCAGGTCGCGGCGGATCGCCAAAATCTGTTCTGTAGCTTACGCGACGGCATGCTGTCTTACGCGACGGCATGTTGTGGACAGTAGGGCGCTGGACAGGTAGCGAGCGTGGAGTACTCAGGAAGTTGTATAGTAGCGGCGCGCAGCGTCGACAGCTGAGGTCGCGATGGAGCGGCATGGGTGGGAGACGGGGTGTAGAGAAAGAGTTTGCAAGACGGGGGACGTTGAGATAAGCAAGTCGAAAAGATGGCACGGACGCGGTGAAAGTGAAAGTGAAAGGGGAGTGCCGCATTGGGATGGAAGCGTCTAGCAGCAACATATCACCACACCACTCTCTCGACACAACAACAGCATGGAAGACCAAAAATTCCGTACTCAAGTATCATTAATCAGAACCTCATAAACCCATCCATCTCCAACCCCCCCTTCGTACTACTCCCAACGCACCTACTCAACCTTCACCCTCTCCCACCTCAACCCCTCCTCAATACTCCCCCTCGTAACCCCCCAATTATCCGCAAACCAATTATCCCTCGGCTTCCAGGGCCCCGCATCCGCACAATTCGGCATCTTCTTCATCGCCACATTGACATACGTGCTATTCAACGGACTAGCACTAACCGTCTTCTGTCTACTCTTCTCATCAATCACAGGCGTCACACTGGTATACCCCTGTTCTTGCTGGTGCTTGATCAAGCGGACGAAGAGGCGGGACGCGGCGTCTGAACCGAGTGTCCAGGACGCGTTCCAGTAGCCGATGATGTTGCCGAGGTTGGGGAGGGAGGTGAGCATGGCGTTGCGCCACATGTATTGCTCTGAGACTTCGATTTTCTTGCCGTCGACGCGCACGTCGATGCCGCCGAGGAAACGCATGTTCAGGCCTGTGGCGGTGACGATGATGTCGGCGTCGAGTTTGGTGCCGCTGTTTAGTTCGATGCCGTCGGCGACGACGCTCTTGATGGTGTCGGTGACGATGTGTGCTTTTCCTGAGCTGAAGGCTTTGAAGTAGTCGCCGTCGGGGCAGAGACACATGCGTTGTTGCCAGGGGTTGTAGCCGGGTTTGAAGTGGGGGTCGACGGGGAAGTCGGGCGGGAGTTGTTGAGCGGCTTTCTTGACGAGGAAGTTGGATGCGAGGGTGGGGAACCAGATGCAGAATTTGTAGAGGAGGATGGGGACGAGGGTGAACATGAAGCCTGGGGGTGTTAGTTTGAGGTTGGTAGGGGAAGAAAGGGGGACGTACGTTTGTAGCGGAGGGTAAACCACTCGGGCGCCCACTTCTCAAACCATACCTGGTCCTTCTGTGGCAGACTCATGATATACGTCGGACTCCTCTGCAACTGCGTCACACTGCCCACACCATTATCCACCATCGCAGGCATCATGGTAATAGTAGTCGCGCCACTACCCACGATAATCATCTTCTTGCCCTTATAATCCAGATCCTCGGGCCAGAACTGCGGATGAACAAGCTTGCCCTTGAAGTTGTCGATACCAGGGATATTCGCCTTCAGCGGGGTGTCGTAATTGTAGTATCCCGTACCAGTGATCAGCCACTTGGTCCAGTACACCACCGTCCGTGGCTCTCTCCCAACATCATTCCCAACCTCCACCTCAAGCCTCCACCGCTGTTCCTCGCTCCTCCAATCCGCCTTCATAACCTTGTGTCTATACCGAATCTTCTTATCCAAATCAAACTTGTGCGCCGTCTCCTGCAAGTAGCTCATGATGCTCTCGCCGCTCGCAATCGGGTTCTTTGCCCTCCATGGATAGAACTGGAAGCCCAGCGTGTGCAGATCGGAATCCGACCGTACGCCGGGGTATTTGAATTGCGACCATGTTCCTCCGAGTTCGTGGCGGGCTTCGAGGACGGCGAATTTGGCGTCTGGCAGCGACTCTTGGATGCGGTAGGCGGAGTTTATGCCACTGAGGCCGCTGCCGATTACTAACACGTCGAAGTACGAGTCGATCATGGCGGGCCGGTGTGCGGACTGCTGGCGGTGCTTGCGGTGGAGAAAGGGTGCCGGCGCAGGTACGCGACGTGGGGAGGTGGAGAGGTGGCAGGTAAAGTGTACACTCTCTTAATCGGCTTCGTGACTCGGATATATGTGAATCGCCCGACAAATACAAAAGCTATGACAGCAAGTCAGTGGTGGGCAATGGCCAGGGGAGCCGGTGCATGTCGACCTTTGTACCTAACCACCTCAGACCTCAACCTCCGAGGTGGCTCCACCCCCATCGTGCGACGCCACACGTTGCGCACGCTACCCCACCACTAGACATTTCGTCCATCTTCTAGTCCATCACGGCCGCCTTTCACCGCCGTGCGATTGGGGGTGTCGTTCGCAACCTTAGTGTTGTTGAAGCGGTAAATACGTCACCGAGTTTTTTGCCGAGGCAGATCCTTAGTTGCTTTTTCTTCCGCACGCCGCTCACCTTGCCACAAAAGGAAACATGACTTGTGTGCGACAGGCATGACTCGCTCTGTTGACTCCTTTCGGACCACTATGCGCGAGACAGGTTACGCCTGGTGAGATGCTTGGAGAGTTGATTTGAGAGGCCGAGTCACATGTACCCCGCAGATCATGATCACCAGCTAAGTTGTACTGCCTTATCGGAAACTTTCGTAGGGCTGGACGACGCTACAAGTCCCCAATTCTCGGAACATCAAGACGTCCGAAAGCCAGATGCCTCGGTAAGTTCGAGCGAACGATGCCTGAACACCTCGATGTTCACGAGACAAGGCGCGATGTCAAATAGCGATCATGGAAAGCACCGAGGCAGGCAGACAAACTGCTAGTAAATTCCGAAAGGTTGGTAGACGGAGTAGACGGACGAGTCTAATATTGAGACACATTAAGCGAATGCGAAGAGCTTTCCTGATCCCACACATCTCCCTATCTACTCCCTTCCAATAATAATCATCTCCCCCTCCGCCCCGCTATCACTAGTCACATACATCCTACCATAGCCATCCTGCGCAATACTCACAGGCCTGAAACATTGCGTAGTCGAGCAAGAATCCACATCCGGGTTCCAGAAGATGTCAGCCCAAGCCTGCGTACTTTTCACGGACGCTTTCGGTCCGAAGCCGTTGGCGCCTGTGGTGAATGGCACTTCGATGATCTTGTATCCAATCGAAGGGTTGCGGTTCCAAGATCCATGTAGGGTAATATACATGCTAGTGAAGTTCTTGTTGAAGCTCGCATCAAGGGGTGCGGAGTGCGCCGGAAGAGCAAGACGCGGTGGTATACTGCGGGTCTTACAGGTCTCGTCTGTGAAGGTCGCGTTGGGCTCTAGAACAAACTGGTCGCCTATCGTGAATGGCTTGTCTGCAATCGAATCTGGGTTGAAGACGGTGTAACAGGTCGGGTAGCCATACCAGTCTGTGTTCTCTTTGGATGGATCCCCGAGGTGGTTGATTTCATCAGCTGGATTGTCGGTATGGATGTCCACGGATACCCCGTTAATAGTGCGATGCAGCTCGTCCGAGGAATTCTCGACACCCCAAAGCATGCCGTTAGCGTCGAATGCTAAACCGACTTCGTTCCGAAGCCCGTGCCCCATATGGTAGCCACCGGTCGGGTAGTCGTAGCCATCGTCAGGAACAGTGGTCATGTCAAATACTTTAATGCAAGACCGGCCGGTTGCGATGTCTGCAGACCCGTAATCGAAGTTGTCATTCGATCCATGCGAGACGAGAAGGAGATTCGGATATGTTGGTGGGATCGCTAGCGTCCTGGTGACATGACCTCTACTGTCCATGCCTGTCAAGACTGTTGTTACGTTCTCAGATACGCTCATGGTGGTTGCATCATATGACCATGAGAATACCGAAGTCGCAGAGCTAGCGAACAGCGTCTTCCCATCATGACTGAGCACAATGCCATGGTTGAGATTTCGTTGAGCGATGACGGTTTTAGTCGAGGTGAGGCAACCGTTTGGTGCAACTTTGTGAGCTGTAATACCCATACCGTTCTGTACGACAAGAAGGTTCCCAGCGTTATCGAATATAAGCCCTCTTGGCTGGGTCAGCCCTCCTGCGACCTTCGTCGCCCTCCATCCTTTCGCTGTGTTGGCAGGAAATGCAAGTTCTGCAACGTCAGGACACGACACAGGTATTCCTGTCTGGGTTGGTTGCGGTAATTCCGAAGTGAGCGTACTCATGCTCATTGTAGTCGATATTGTGCTGATAGCCGAACTCGGTATTGGGGTGCTGCTTGATGCTGGTGGGGTACCATCGATGAGGTTCGCAGCAACCAACTCGTCAAAGTCCGCATTCTGACCTTGTGTGAGGTCAATTCGGTAGTTTCCAAAAGAATTGTGCACGTTGAAGGTAGATCTGTTGTTCGCCGGTTCAACAGGTGGTCTACTCGACAAGCCATAGGCGAACTTTTGCGCAGATGCATTCGCGTCGATGGAAACCAGATTACCGTCCACGTCATGCCATTGAGAGCAACCTCTACACCGCACAGTTAGGGTCCAGTGAGTCGCGTTGTATCCGGTTCCTTTGATATATGAGTATTCGGCATCGGCGTAGGGCTGGGGCAAGCTCAGGCCGAAAGCCATCCTTGATGAGTAGATGGAGGTATTCGATGCACTGTTCATCCATCCGACTGTCAGTGGGACATATGGCATCGTTCCGCCCCAACTGAATCCGACCCATCCATTTTTGATAGGCGACACAATTTGCAAGACGGTATCGAAAGGTGCAGCTTTCGACTGAGGTAGAGCGACACCAAAGGTGATGCCATTGGTACCAGTCCACCCAGAATAGCATATCGAGGTTCCCAGATCGCAGTACCGCTTAGTCGTTTGGCCGCATGCTGCAATAGCGTCAATCAAGTGAATTGAAGTACGTGTGTGTATAGGAGCAAGTACCTGTATGACTGACGACAACAAGCGTCAAGGACAGCCTGCCTATCCTCATCGTCGGCGAAACACGTAGATCTTACCAGATGATGATGTTATACCGTATCGGAGAGCTCAATTTTGTCGAAGACGCGGCTCGTACCAGATATAAGATGTGCTCGTTCTTTTGTACCGGCATCTCGAAGACTGTACGGATAGCCGCAAGGCGCTTATAAATATGCGCCATGTCACCCTTCGTCCGATGCTGGGAGACGCAATACGCATGATACGATGGTCGTCGGCTGAGTGTGTGTCGTCATCCGCTCATGCGATAAGCTCCTAGAAAGCATTGTAATGACCGACAGTACGAACGGCGGTACTTTCTGTTGAGAGTTAGATCCGCTTCCACGTTAGTAATATATTACTGCTGCATCCCGCTTGCGGCAAAATGCTCCACGCTTATAAGTACCGTTAGAATTGCATGATGACGTATCTTCGTTTGTGCTCTACAAAAGTCTCGGAAAGCGCAGATGCGTAGTTGCCTAGGCCCGTGTTCCCGTTTTTTGAGCCTCAATCAAAACCAGGATTGATCAAACGTGACCAATCCGTCCCTTACGGTACGGTATGTTCGAACAGAAACCACAGCTGCAGCTGAAGTAGCCTGGTCCAGTCAGCTTCACGTTGTTGTGTTAGTCATCCCGGTGCTGATCCAAATTGAATGGAGATCGCCAGGGCCTGATAGATGAAACGACGCATTTAGCCTTTGACTGCCAGCGGCAAATAGATGGAATCTACCATCACACAAGTACACTTGTATATTCTGATATCAAAGATTGTAGATGGCCTGATACGCGCGTTTTCTCGGTCCGGTTCCCGCAGCGACAAGGAGGGTTCTGAAGATAGCTCGCGACCGACCATTGTGCGTTCGGTAGACGTACTTTGTTTGTCGCAACGGTGTCGTCAACGGGAGCGACCAGTCTGTGTTACCTGAGGGGATTGGTGAAAGATGAAGTAACGAGGGATGCTTTGGGATGCGATGAGGAGAAAGGAAGTTGGAGTGAGACGCAGCGAAAGGAAGTCGCGATGGGATGACGCACGGATCCATGACGAAATGAGGCACGTCCACGCGAAGTGTGGAAAGAACCAACCACCCAACAAGGAGACAATCCCAAGACATGATCATGGAATCTCTCTCCATTGACATCAATAATCACCATTCGCTTAGCTTCCGCGTATATGCACTTCAATCCTTCGTCCTCAACGCCCACCGCTCAAATCTTCGCCTTCGCAGGCGCAGTAACCCTCTTCCCATGCACATAACAAATCCCCCTAATCTTCTCCGCCGCCTCCCCCCAAAGCTCATTCCTCAAAACACTATAAACCCCCATCTTGGCCCTCCCCTGCACATCCCTCGCCTTCTTCAGCGCAGCCTCAAGCATAACCTTCGGCTCCGCAATCTCATCCACAATACCATCCTCGTATGCTTCTTTGCCCGTCCAGCGATGCGCCTCAAGCAGCATCTTCCGCGCAATCTGCGGGCGGAGCTTAAGCCGCGGCAGGAACCCGATGCCAGGGAAATGCAAACCGAGGTTTACGGGCGGCATAGAGAAGAAGCCGCGCGAGGAGTTCATGATGCGGTAATCGTGTGCGAGGGCGAAGGGACAGGCGCCGCCGAATGTATGGCCTGTCAATAACGCGATAGTGGGGAACGGGTAGTCGAGCAAGGTGGCTAGCAGCGGGAAGAAACCATCGCTGTTGGCGAAAGGGTTTCTGTCGCTCTCGTCTAGCTCGAGTCCTGTGCACCAGAACTTCTCGTCGTTTCCTCGCGTTATCACGCAGCCTTCTGTGTCGGCGCCTAGTTCTTGCTCGATGTCGCGGAGTGCGCGTATTATTTCTTGCGCGAAGGCGACGTTTATGCGGTTTTCGGGGGCTTTGGCGAGGGTTATGACGAAGACGCGGTCGTGGCGGGAGACGCGTAGGTTTGTGTAGTAGCCCAGTGCCATGGTGTTTGGGGGTTTGGGTATTGCGGTTACGACGTCGATGGCGATGCGAGGCTACCTGGGTCAAAGTGGATTATTTAGTAGAGTCTATAATGTTAGCTCTCGTGATATCATGAAGCTACGCATCGTTTTGCGTGCTCAAGCTACCAAACTTCATGGTGTTGAAGCCTCGGTAGCCAGATGCGGGGAAAGGCCCCGGCCGCAGTCGCGCGTTGCAGTGTGTGCTTTCCGTGTCATTTGCTGACTCGACAGACAGATAGAGACTCCTCTCCTCGAATGGCATTCGGCCAAAGCAACAGCCGTCGTGGTGGGTGTAGACAACATGGGGAACGGAGACATTAGGGGTCGAGGCCCGCAGCGCGTAGCAGGTGTGGAGCCCGCCTTGGCCAATTTTTAGATTCTCCCGTCTTTCCACCCATCGCTACATCATCAGGGCCATGACTTTCTCGTTCCCACGCTTCAGGCCCGAGACGCCTTTGCGGTTCTCATCACGATTTTCACATGCGAACCGTAACGTATAGGGTAATGACAGGTCGTACGACGGCAGATGCTGTCATGTATATTGAAAACTAAGCTAGCCGAAAGATAAGAAGCGACAAATGGAAAGTAGGAGAAGATATCGGCATCTAAGAAAGGTACAAATCGAGCCGTCTGCTACACAAGGATCGGCCGACGTTATTCTTCTATCCGTATTGCTGGTTTGGATACTGTCCTTGCTGCCACTCTGCTCCTCCCATCGATGATCTTGAACCAGCTTCGTACTGACGACTATATCCTACATCGGATGGTGGTTGCTCATGTGATACTGGCGTAGCAGGCTTGGGCATGTGTCCTGGGGGTCCCATAGGGTTTGTACGTTCGTACTGAGCGGTTGGTGCAGTATAGTAGCCGGGACGTTGCGACGGTGCATACGACGAGTGTCCATATGGGCTAATCGGCATAGCTACGTTGGTACGTTGCTCGAAAGCGTCATATCGCTCACCGCGATCCAAGGCAAGATAACTGTCATCCCCGTTCAAGGTGGCGGTCCTGAAGCTATCATATAGCTTGGTTGTCTGGGCGACAGTTTCGAAATGCATCTTTCTGAGCTGTTTCTGCATACCAGGGTTATCGTCGCCATCGAGGTGCGCTAGTGAAGCAGCGATCAGGAACGCATTCCGAATCTGCCTGCCATTCCACCGACCTACGCCAGATTTGACTGTCTCATCGAAATGGGTCAGCGCAAATTCGTTGATTTCACTCTCAAGAATGAATAGGCGATCGACAGGATCCTCGCGTTGAAGTTCGATGTTCTTGAGTCGAATGATGTTGTGCTTGAAGATCTGTGTTGTTTGTCGTTTGTCGAGCTGATTGTATCGCAGATGGAGGTGAACGCGAGACTTGATTGCCTCATCAAGAACTCCAACTCGATTGGTCGTGAGGAACAACACACCGTTGTAATACTCGAGCATTCGTAAGAATACTAATTCTGATGTGAGTATAAGTTCCATTGTTTGCAATGTGGCGACAGCTTACCGGATACCAAAGCATTTCTTTGAAGATCATTCCTGTCTCTTTGCGAAATGAAGACCTCGGCTTCATCGAGCAACAGAACACAATCCCAAAGATGGGCCAAGCGAAAGAATTCTTTCAAAGACTTCTCCACACCTTCTGGTGTAAAGCCGAGGTCACCGCATGTGATGGGGAACAGCGGCTTCTCGTACTTCTGGGCAACGGCCTCCGCTGTGGCGGTCTTTCCAACACCTGGTTCGCCATGAAGGAGGATTACAATGCCTCGGCCTTTTCCTCTAATGAGGTCTTGCGAGAGAACTTCGGTTCCTTCTAATTCAGCCTTCTTCTTCCGGAAGTGCGATTTCAGAAGTGATTCGATGAGTCGTTTGTTCTTGTCCTCAATTTGAAGGTCCGTGAACGCTTCGCTCTCCTTGCCTTGCTGCTTCACAGGCTTAAGATAGC